GAGGTTGTGGGGGGGGGAACAGTCACCACTCTGTCCAAGAGTGGAAGGATGGGTTGTGAACTTGTGGCAGCCACAACTGTAGTAGGTGCATGTGAAACTTGGCATACTGGATCACATAAGTGCAGGTGGCCATGAGTCCCAGGAGGTGCATGCAGTTCCTGGCTGTGGTCATTGGGAATGCCCGCATGGTCATGACAGTTTCTCTGATAGCCAGAAAACGTGACCTGGGCTGGGAGGGCATGGCCCACGTGGAGTCCAGCCAGGTGCCCACGAACTTTATGACCTTAGTGGGGACCAGGGTAGACTTGGCCACATTCAGTAGAAGACCCCGTTCCTGAAAGAGTTCTCATACCATGCCAATGTGGGCCAGCACCTGGTCCAAGGAGGGGTCCTGGACAAGTCAGTCATCCAGGTAAGGGAACAATTGGAAGCCCCACTTTCTCAGGATGGCGGTGACTATGGCCATATATTTCATGAGGAGCCATAGAAAGGCCAAAGGGGAGAGCTATAAATTGGTAACGGTCCTGGCTAACCATAAAGCGGAGGAACCATCTGTTGTGAGGGGTAGTGGAAATATGGAAGTAGGCATCTTTTTGATCGAGCGCAATGTACCAGTCTCCAAGCTTTAGGGATAGGATGATGAATGCCAGGGTCACCATCTTGAACTTGGCTTTGGTAATGAAGGTCTTGAGTTCCCTGATGTCTAGAATGGATCGAAACCCCCCTTTTATCTTCGGAACCAGGAAGTACTGGGAGTAAAAACCCCTACCCATGAACTCCTTGGGGCCCGAGTATCTTAAGGCAATGCAGATGCTGATCAGTCTGTTCAGAGAAAAGGGACTGCCTTTCGAAGGGGAGGTCCTGAATAGTAGCCTGGAGCTCAGGAGGGACTCCAGATCCCTGCAGCCACGAGCTGAATCATGAGACCAGTCCCATGGCCATGATGTGGGCCACTGCAACCATGGCATCTAGGGCAGCTCAGGAGATTACCCTGCCCTCCGCTGAAAGGGACCTAAACTCCAACCGGAGTATATATTAGCCAATATAGCGGTGCCACTCCGGGGGCTCCTCTGCTGGCCCAATGGATACTGTTAAGGGAAAATCTTCCCACAATGCATGCACACGGTGCGTGCACCTACATGGAATCGACATGAGCAATCACGCAAAGAAGAAACACTGTTTTGTTTTGTTTTTTAAAAGTCCTCTTCCCTCACGTTATAAGGATTTTGGCTGCATTATTGTGTGTGTGTATATATATATATATATATATATATATAAAATATATATATATAAAATACTCGCATAT